CTGCTGCTGCTGCTGCTGCTGTTGCTGCTGCTGCTGCTGCTGTTGCTGCTGCTGCTGCTGCTGCTGCAGGGATAGTGCATGCACGTCAGTCTCCTGCGGTGTCTGCGCACCTTGCTGCTCCGCATGCAGTTCACAGCGGCCGCTTAGGCGGCAGCAAAAGTTTATATACTTTATACTTACACGCTGTGTCTGTGTATCCCCTCGACTGGCGGCTGCTGCAGCAGCAGCTGCAGCAGCACCGCAGCAGATGCAGCAAATATAGAAACGCTCCTGCTGCGCTGCTGCCGCTGCCTGCAACAGTTGCTCGGCAGCCGCTGCTGTGGAAAGATTTTGCTGCTGCTGCTGCTGCTGCTGCTGCTGCAGCAGCAGCAGAAACAAATGAAGAAAACGAAGCAGCAGATGCGACACAAGATGATTCTCTCGCTGCAGCAGCAGCAGCAGCAGCAGCAGCAGCAGGAACAGCAGCAAAAGGAGAAGGAGGAGGAGGAGGGAACGGACAGGAGACAGATGCATTTGTTGCTGCAGCAGCAGCAGCAGCAGGAGAACGTTTGCTGCAGTTTATAAGAGATGTCTATACACTCGAGAGCCGCCGCTTTGAGCTTCTTGTTGCTTCTATTGCCCCCTCCATAGTAGGCAGACATATTGTTAAAGCAGGTACTTCTCCTGCTGCTGCTGCTGGTGCTGCTGCTGCTGCTGCTGCTGCTGCTGGTGCTGCTGCTGCTGCTGCTGCTGTGCTGGTGGTGTGCTGGTGGTGGTGGTGATGGTGGTGGTGCTGCTGCTGGCGGTGGTGCTGGTGGTGGTGCTGGTGGTGCTGGTGCTGGTGCTGGTGATGGTGATGGTGGTGCTGGTGGTGGTGCTGCTGCTGCTGGTGCTAGTGATGGTGTTGGTGGTGCTGCTGCTGTTTTTGCTGCTCTTGTTGTTGCTGTTGTTGCTGTTGGTGCTGCTGCTGCTGCTGCTGCTATTGGGGATAACAACAAACTGGCTAGTGTGCCCTCGCAGCAGCAGCAGCAGCAGTTGCTGCTGCTGCTGCAGCAGCAGCTGCTGCTGTAGAAGTTTGAGCGCAGCCGCACTACCCAGCAGCACGAACAGCAGCAGCAGCAGCAGCAGCAGCAGCAGCAGCAGCAGCAGCAGCAGCAGCAGCAGCAGCAGCAG